TCAACATAACTATTTATTGCCAAGTAGGGTAAATTGGCGATAGATTTTAAAGATAGATTAACAATGAAAGATTAGTTTGGTCGTAAAATCCATCACAAAAGTTTCACTTGATGATTTAGCATCGAAAAAATGTTCTTGTATTATGAATAGTCACATCATATATATAATTTAGGAGTTCTCTTTCTATATAGAGTGTTTGTCTATCTAAACAAAACAATTTTTTTAACATTAAAGATTATTTGGGATTAAAAGCTATTTAAAATGTTTATTTAATCCAAACTTATTTCTTTTAATTGTAACTTTGATATATATAATTGACTTAAAGGGTAAAATCGTAAACTTTAACCAGTTAGAGGGTTTATTTGCAGAAAACCCTTTAACAATGTATTAATAAAAATAATTAAAAGAATATAATTTTCTGAGTTATGAAACTTTGATTTAATTGTCAACAATTAGATGTATAATAATAAAAATTGATGATGAAAGATACATTACTGTATATATGTTTATCAACATTAAAAAAAAATTATGGACATTTTCATGTTCTAAATTACTTACAATCTTATTAGGTAATTTTCTACGGAAGAAACCATATAAATCAGGTATTTTTCTATTTCAGTTTCAATCAAGTTTTCTAATTGAAAATGTTGGAATCACTTTTTCTCCTAAAAATACATAAGTAAAATATAAGCAAAACACAAGTAAAATATAAGCAAACAAAAATACAACGACTAGTACTTTTGTTTAATTGATCATGATTAAGTTTTAGATTCAATACCTATGAAATTACTGCATAAATTTAGGTATTGCATAAAAAAAGTTGCAAATTTGAGATATTTATCTTTTTTTTATTTTCTGATTAAGAAAGTACTTATGTAGTAGTAGTAATAAGGTTTGATTTAGTTGCAAAAATAAAATGATTACTAATATAGGAAGAAGAACAAATTTTTTGTTATCATGAAGACAAGACAACTAAGGATTAGTGACGTTATTTTGTCTTACGGTTTGCCACGAAGTGAGATATGAAAAATTAAGTATACCCAAGAACAGTATAGTTTATATAAGAAAATATAAATATTATTTAAAGGAAACATAATATATATGTGAAGAAGGGAACATCGACCCGCTATTAGATGGTCATGGAGAACCTTTTTGGTAGAAGGAACATTAAGTTCATGTATGACCTGAAAGGAAAGTTCAGCCGAGTGCTTGGTTCGGCTTCCAAGAATGACAACATAGAAGATTTCGTCCGTGATGCCCGCTTCATAACCTAGAGCTCAAAGGGCACCCTGAAACGAGCCTTGCTAGAAGACACCAGCTTCCTCCATGTGAGTTTCTCACTAATCAATACAAAATTTTATTTTCAATTCATTAACTAATCTTTACTTATCAACCAGGAAGTCAATGTCATGGACTATTCCCTGCGGGTGGGAGTAGACCATGACACTGATGAGCTTGTATGTGGACTGGTCGACTACATCGGGCCTTTCAACACCGCCAACAAGGCTGAGTGGCTAGTCAAATAAATCGTTGGGGTGTTCACAAAATAAAATACAACCGTGAAGCCTCCTTCTAACTACAAGGATAGGATCATGACTTTGATCGATAATCATTTCATAATGGTATCCCTCTCCTACCGTCTTCAATGAATATATTGTTAGTCATGTTCATTTTACCAATGGTTGGAGGTTGGTGAAAGAAGGTTCAAAAGTCAAAAATGGGAAGTTGATTTTGTTGTCAACAATTTTGGCTCATTTAATTGCACATCACCAACCTCCTCCTCAAATGCTCTATAGATACGTGAGCTCCTCATTTTTAATAGGGTGAATTAGATGAATATTAGTGTAAGGAGAGATAATTAGGCTACTAACATAACCTAAATCAGATTTAGGTGGGTAACGATGACAAGGTTTAAGTGGACGAGTTTGCCCCTGAAAATTAGGAAAAGGAAAGTGGTTAATTAGCCCTTTGACAATTAAGGTAAATATACATTAAAGGTAAATATGACAATTAATGTAAATATACATTAAAAAATCTCTAAAAATATTCTCTCGACTCCAAAACGTAGATCTATCTTTAATCTTCTGCATGACTGCTCTGGAAAAAAAAAACAAATTAGAAGATTGAGAAAATTAAAACAAATATCTTGTAATAGTTAATTATTTAATAACATAGTTAACTATTTTTGAAACATCACATAGTTAACTATTTTCGAAACATCTTGGAACATAGTTAACTACATCATATCATTTGTGACTATCTAAAACATAGGTAACTATTTTCAAAAAATAGTTACCAATTTAAAAACATAGATAACTATTTTACGGACATAGTTATAGAATCTACTGATTTCAAGACATAGTTGACTACATAAAAAATGTTGTAATAGTTAGTTACTTAAACAAACATAGTTAACTAGTTCAAAACGTAGTTATCTATTATAATGAAAAAAAATAACATAGATATTTGACTATTACCAGAAATATAGTTAGCTACAATATTGAAAAAAGCCATACTTAGTAAACTATAATTAGAAATATAATTACATTTTGAACATAATTAACTATGTTGATTTTGATTAAGAGATGGATGATGGTGGAGAAATTAGTGGAGGAGAAGAAACACCATCTTAATCCACCATTGAAGATTTCGATCTATGATATTGAGTTAAAGAAAAGGTAATC